GCAGATGGAGCTGGAATCAGACGTGGAGTCTGGTGCGCCCGTCCACAGGGCGGCCCGCTCCCGCTGCGAAAGCCCAGTGCACTGGCCTCGTCTCCGTTGGTCACCTTCCCCGGGCTGAGTGTGTGTGTGTGTGTGTGCCTGTGTGTGAGTTTTGTAAGAGTTGTATGTGAATGGGCAGGTGTGAATGTGAGGGTGTGTGAGTCCTTATGGAGTTGAGAGGGTTGTGGGGGGCTGAGGTTGTGTGAGAGTGTGAGAATGTAGAAGGCTGAGAGGTGTGTGTGTGTGTGTGTGGTTGTAAGGGTTGTGGGATGGGTGTAAAGTGATGTGGGAATGTGAGAGTTGTGTGTGTGTGTGTGAGGTAAGGGTGGTTGTGTGGGACTATGAGAGTGTGTATGAGTGTGTGGGCTGGAGTGACAGCACAGCGGGGAGGGCGTTTGCTTTGCACGAGGTCGACCTGGGTTCGGTTCCTCCGTCCCTCTCGGAGAGCCCGGCAAGCTACCGAGAGTATCTCACCCGCACGGCAGAGCCTGGCAAGCCCCCCGTGACGTATTCGATATGCCAGACACAGTAACAACAAAGTCTCCAATGGAGACGTTACTGGGCCCGCTCGAGCAAATCGATGATCAACGGGAGGGCCTTTACTTTTACTTTTTACTTTTTATGGCCGACTCAGAATTGTTCTTACGCCGCTCTCAGAGACGCCCACAGGGCAGAGCCTGGCAAGCTCCCCATGGCACATTCGATACGCCAAAAACAGTAACAACAAGTCTCACAACGGAGACGTTACTGGTGCACGCTGGAGCAAGTCGACGAACAACGGGAGGGCAGTGCTACAGGACAGTGTTACAATGCCACAGTATGAGTGTGTGAGGCGAGGGGTGTGTGAAGGGGGTGGGTGTGAGGTTGTGTGGGAATGAGAGTGCGAGAGAGGTTGTGCGGGTTGTGTGTGAGTGTGTGTGAGGGGGTTAGGGCTGTGGGTGTGAGGTTTTATGGGAATATGAGGGTGTGTGTGAGAGGGGGATGTGTGTGTGGTGGTGAGGATTGTGTGTGAGTGTGTGTGAGATGGTAAGGGCTGTGGGTTGAGGTTGTGTGGGAGTATTAGGGTTGTGTGAGAATGTGCGCGGTGACCATGAAGTCAGGCCCCTTCCCGAGAAAGTGCAGTTCACGGCGCCAGAGGCCCGAGAGTTGTGTCCGGAGACATGCAGGGCCCGTCTCCCTCACAATGGGAAGCCCAGGGACCCTTGAGTGGCCTTGGGGGTCTTGGGAGCAGCTAGGGTCATCTTTAGCAGGACGCCCTGTGCCTGACAGGCGCTGGGGCTCAGGGGCGGGGGCACCCCTCCGCAGAGACACAGAGACCCCATGAGTCCTCCTAATGGATCCTGAGCCGCCACTCCGAACATGGTTGACAGGCCTGGGCCACGCCTCCCGTGCGGCTCCTCGGTCAGCTCTGAGGCCCGTTTGTCTCATGACACGGAGTGTTGTCAAGGGGGGGCGGGGACGGGGACCCTGACAGCGCCGAGGCCGATGGGTCCGTCCCGTGAGAAGGAGCTGGCGGGAGGCAGCAGGGAAGGTTCTGGCAACGGCGAAGGGCCCGTGAGCCCTGTGATTGCCGGGGCCAGAGGAAACGCCGAGCCCCGAAGGCGGGCGGGTAATTGGCGTAAGCGATCCCAGCCACTCGGCCCTCGGCCCCGAAGCCGGCACCATCTGTTAGCAATTGCCGGGAGGTGAGCCACAACGCCGGGCCCCGGGGTCACCGCACCGAGTATCTGCGGCTTGGCTGTGTCCTCGGACACCGTCAGGACAGGTTTGGGGGACTCGGGTCCACGCCAGGCTGCCGGTGTCCCCTCCCCTGGCACTTGCCAGAAAACCGGCCCGTCACCATATGTGGGTCTCAGGAGGGCTGCTGTGGGGACGGGCACCACTGTGTGCCACGGAAGTTACAGACTCACACGCATCCCTGCACACACAGTCCCGCCGACACACACCCCAACACAGTCACACACCCTTATACACACACACACACACCCCTCTGCACACCAACACACATACACCCCTGCACACACACCCCTATATATACACATACCTGCACACGCACACACACACACACACACACACACACACACACCCCTGTGATCACACAGTCACACGGGCCTGCGCTTGCCAGCACGCGCCGAGGGCCTGACCGGCAGGAGGCTCGCTCTCCTCTCCTTCGCAGTCTTCCCGTTTCCGCGACGGCCTCGACGGCCTCGGAGACCCGCAGGCGCAGGGCGTCCGTTTGGCGGGAGAGGAGAGGCGGCCTGCAGCCCCCGAGCTTACCACGTTGAGTCCCGCCGGGTGGGGGTGTGCGGGGGGGGGGGGGTGGAGGCTAGTCTTTTTTTTTTAATTTATATTTTTAAAATTCAAATCTTTTTCCCTCTGAGAAATAAGAGGAGCTGGTGAGGGAACACGCGGGTCAAGGCACAGCCCCATAGTCAGTGACGGGGCCGTATCACTCGGACCCGGGGCTGCGTCCATCACGTGTACAAAGTCACAGTTACGGCTTGCAGTGTCACCTCAGCCCCAGAGCCTGCACACCGCACGCCTCCTCCAGTCTGCACCCCGCCCTCCCGACCAAGGCCTTGCTCTTTGTCCAGTGCTCTCTGTGCCGTCCTTCCGGCCCGTATTCCACGGGCAAGTGAGCTTCCCCGAACTGCCCTCCCGGGTGACACACACTCTCCGCTCCACGCACCAGCCCCGCCATCCCACCCGCGCCGCAGGGACCCGCCACCTCATCTTCCCTGTGGCCACACGTATGTGCTGACCCCAGCTTCAGCGTCTCCGGGCCTTCCCACCTGCAGCCAGTAGGCCGCCTCCGCCGCCCGGTCTCGACTGTTCTGGGGAGAAGGCTTCCCTCTGGGTGATGACTTCCTCCCCCCCCTCCCCCCAGGGCCTGCCCTGGACCCCACCACCCACCCTCACGTGGCAGCTTCAGGGGTCCGACTACTGATCCAGGCGGCCAAGTCTGAAATTTCCCGCCGTGTGGTTGGTTTGGGGGCGCAGCAAGCGATGCTCGGGGCCTCCTCCGGGCTCTGCGCTCAGGGATCCCTCCGGACGGTGCTCAGGGGATGCCCAGATGGGTGCGGGGTGCAAATTTGGGTCGGCCACGTGCAAAACAAACGCCCTCCGCGCTGTGCTCTGGAGCCAGAGAGTGGCTCCGGCCCCTCTTAAGCCCCTTGAGATGTGCGTGCGTGTGTTTTACTGGAGACAGGACAGAGTCTTTCCAGCAAGTGTCCGTGACGTCGCCGCCGTTAGCGCTGCCTTTTCCAGAGGCCCGAGTTATGAGGGGGGAGCGTTCAGCCGCTTTGGAGCTGGGTCCCACGGGGAACCCGGGGCCACATTCCCAGGTCTCCGACGTGGATCCTGCAGCGACATAGCTCATAGCCTGACGTCTTTTCTCTCTGAGCTATGCCCGGACTCGTGGGCTTAGAGCACTCGGCGCCCCAGGAGGCCGGCACCGGATCTGGCCCCGGATCCGCCAGGAAGCGTCCGTTTGCTCCGGAGGAGAGAACGGCCTGACGTTTCCCTCGCGGGAATCGAGGGTCTTGTCAGCAGGGAGGGCAGGAAGGACACGCGCTCCCCGCGGCTCCCTCTCCCCCACCGAGTGCCCAGCCCAGATTCCGCCCCATCAGGTGGAATGTTCCAGAAAGCAGCGAGGTTTCGCTCTAGGAGGGCCACTTCCGCCAGGACTTGACCTGGGACTCAAGTGCGTGTTGTGTTGTGCCCCCCAGACCAGGCAGCCCTTCCACGAGTGTGGGTGGCCGGGCCAGGACCTTCTGGGCACCTGGCTCCCCTGGAGGGGTTGGGGTTAGGGGTGCTTCTGCTCCCGGAAGTTGTGTCCGATACCTCTCCGTCCACACGCCTTGGTCACCCACCTTTTATTTATTTGTCTTTTGGTGTTTGGACCACACCCATTAGTGCTCAGGGCTCCCTCCTGGCTCTGTGCTCGGGGCTGACTCCCGGCTCTGTGCTCGGGGCTCACTCTTGGCTCTGTGCTCGGGGCTGACTCCCGGCTCTGTGCTCGGGGCTCACGCTTGGCTCTGTGCTCGGGGCTGACTCCCGGCTCTGTGCTCGGGGCTCACTCTTGGCTCTGTGCTCGGGGCTGACTCCCGGCTTTGTGCTCGGGGCTCACTCTTGGCTCTGTGCTCGGGGCTGACTCCCGGCTCTGTGCTCAGGGATCATTCCTGGCACGCCTCAGGGACTCCATGCAGTGCCGGAGTTCAGACTGAGGCCAACCAGATGCCAGGAACACACCTTCATCCCCCGTCTCCCAGGGCCACGTCCTTAGACAAGGGGACAGTTCCTAGGCCCCTCACTGCTCTCTCTCTCTCTCTCTCTCTCTCTCTCTCTCTCTCACTCGCTCGTGTCTCATTCCTTAGTGTCCCGTGGTCACTTCTCAGCATCTGAAATGTGGTGACCCCCTGGTTCTGCAGCACGGGGGTCTGGGGCAGGGGGGAGGGGGGAGGCGGGAGGGGCCAGGGCCCCCTCCCTGGGCCTCGTGAAGCTGCTTCCGTTTCCTCCGCAGGCCTCGGCGGGCCGTGTCCGCCTGTCTGTCCCCTGCCGCTCCTGCCTCCTGCTCGCCCGCCTGCCCCGAGGAGACGCCCACTGGGCCGGGGTCCGCCCGCCTGGCGCTGCTTTGTGGCTGCTCCGCTCCGTGTGTGTGTGTGTCCAGACCCAGAGCGGCACAGAACTTTCTAGCACCTGGTCCTCAAAACCTTCCCGCTGCCCCCGCCCCCCGCAGGCCCCTGCTCCCAAGGGCGTGGGAGCCCCGCGCCCCGAGGGAGGGTCAGCCCGGCCGTGCGGGGGGCGTCAGAGCGGAGTGCCCGCTGCCCGCTGCCGTGTCCGCCCCGAGCTTGCCGTGTGATCTTCCTTTTCTCCCCTTTTTCATTTGCTTTCTTTTTCCTTTTTGTTTCCTCTCTTCCTCCCCTGCTCTCTCCTTTCTGCTCTCGGGATGCGGGACCCAGCCAAACGCAAGGCCTGGAAGCTGAATCGTGTTGGCAGCCTGCGAAATATTTACAGCAGCGGCGCCAACACCGAAGGTAACGCCAAGCGCCATCCCCGCGTGTGCCTGCCTGATTTTGCCACCCGTGTTCCTTTCAGCTTACTTAAATCCTGACCTTTCCCTTCCGTCGCCGGTGCTGATGTTTAAATTACTTCAGAAACCTATTTTCTCCTCTTTTTTTTTTTCCTCCCCCCCCCGTCCCTTCCCTTTATACATGTGGGCACTCAATGTAATATTTCCCAAGTTATTACAGTTTTTAAAAGTGTTAGTATCAGGTGTAATGATCTGTAGCCAAATGCAATTGTGTGCCGTGACATTTAAGTAACAGTCTTAATTTGTTTGGTGGAAGCTTTCTCCATAAAGCGTGCTGGGACTCTAATCCAGCCCCGGCCCGACCCGGCCCATTTGCATGGGCTGCGATTGCTTGTAAATTCAGTATATTGTTGTGTTTCTAAAGGTCGGGGGGTGGCAGAGTTCACAAATTGACTTGCCTTGGCTTTCTTCACGGAAGACGGCCGTCAGTGCTTCCGTAAGACCGCAGATTGAATGCCCCCTGCCTTCATTTGAACAACACAATTATAAATTGCCTTTTTTTCATTTTTTTCTTTTTTTTTTTTATGATTACAAATGTCAAGGGTCAGAATTATTTTGATGCCAGGCAAAGGGACGCCCACGGCCTCGGCTCCAGCCCTCGGAAGGGAGGCTGGCGTGCGTTCGGGCAATGCAAATCAAGTGACAATTCAGCAATCTCGAGAGAATGGGGGTGGGGGGGGAGACTTTTTTTTTCTTGATTTTTTTTTTTCAGTTTAATGTAAACCAAATGGGTCACGTAATCGCCAGCTCCTGCCCTCGCACTAATTGACTTATTTGGGGACGATTATAACTGTAATATTTTTCTTAATGTCACTGTTTTCTGGGCTGTTGATTTTAGCGATTGCCAAGCCGCGGCATTAAATCTCTTGTAAATTTTAAATTGCACGCCATTCCTGTAAACAGGTCCCTCTCCTCACATCCCGATCATTAACCTTTGCTGATTGATATCACCGTCCGTTTTTTCCCTGCCTCTCACAATTACTTCTCTGGCCACTGATCGCTCACAGCCCGGAGAGGGGGGGGACGGTCGGAGGAATGGATCTGGGAAACAAAAGTCCATTTTCACTCGGGCTTGTTAAGGGCCTATTTTTTTAATCATCATTTCTTTTTCATTCCTCAAGGGGAAAGCGTCGTCTGTTAGGGCACCAATGAAGCCTGACCCCATTGGCGCCTCCTTTTAAACATTCGCTCCGGGAAGACAGAGCGAGGGAGAGAAATAATCGAATGCTCGCAGACCCTCACTGCCATCCGCCCCACCCCCCCGTGTCTGAAACACCCGCGCTCTCATCCCGTGCCTGCCCACGCGGGTCATCTCATCGCTGTCCCCTGTGTGTCCTCCCGCGGTGCTAACCAGCGTGTGTGTGTGTGTGTGTGTGTGTGTGTGTGTGTGTGTGTGTCGGACGCAGCATTTGGTCATTGGCTTCCGGCCTGAGAAGGACGGAAGGGGGGGCTCGCGGGCAGGGAGGTGGTTAGAGGGGTTCGACCCTCCGGGCCCTCTGGAGGGCAGGCCGGTGGGTCTGGAGGGGACGCCTGGGGGCTGGGTCTGGAGGGACGCCTGGGGGCTGGGACTGCTCTCATGACACCGCCCTGGTGGGTCCCTCTGCAGGCCCCGGGTGCGGTGATAAAAGAGGGTGTCGCGTGGCCAGAGCGATAGCCCAGTGGGGAGGGCGTTTGCCTTGCACGCGGCCGACCCAGGTTCGATTCCCAGCATCCCATATGGTCCCCCGAGCACCACCAGGAGCAATTCCTGAGTGCAGAGCCAGGAGGAACCCCTGTGCGTGGCCGGGTGTGACCCAAAAAGGAAAAAAAAAAGGGTGTGGGCATGCAGCCCCCCTTCGCCACACGCTCAGCCTCCTCTTGGGGATCGCGCCGGGCGCTCAGACGCATCCCCTGCAGCCCCCATGACACGTGACTGTGCCCGTGTTGGTCAGACACGCCACGGTTCCCACTGGGATGCCCGCTGTCCCCCTTCCCAGCCCCGGCCCTTGAGGGCCACCCCAGCACCCAAGCGGACTCACCGCAGCTGGGGGGCTGGTGGCATGTCTGTGGATGGAGCCTGTTGACCGCCAGCCGCCCCCGACCCATATCCTGCGATGCCCACAGGCCCTGCCCTGACCCCTGTCCTGAGGTGCCCGCAGGCCCCGCGCTCCTGGGGTTGGAATGTGTGGAGGGGGGTGGGGTGTGCCTGCTCTAAGCTAGTCTCAGCCGGTGGCCACTCCGGAGCGGGGGCAGCAGCGGGGAGCAACAGGACCAGGGTCATGCTGACAAGTGTCCGGTTGGGGCCATGCAAGAGGGGGCATGGCAGGGGCTGGGGGCTGGGGGCTTCTTGCCGCGGTGGGCAAAACCACCCCCATGGTCCACTGCTGCTTTGACCGAGCCCGTGCCGAGTTCCCGACTGTGGACGTGCTGGTCTGTGGTTCTAGAACTTTCCCCAGGGCCAGGCCTGTGACGCGTTTGGGCCCTCAAGCCTGAGGGACACGCTCAGAGGTGCCCGAATGCCGCTTCCAAATGGACGCAGGAGGACCCTGTCCTTTGCCAGCACAGACAGGGCGGGCAGGCGACGGCCATGCTGGGCCCTTCCTGGGCGGTGTCCAACCCGACCTCCAGACAAGCACCCGACGGGAGGAGAGCGCCAGCCGAGGCCTCTGGGGGCCCTGAGCGGAGGTGGCCACTCCCCCTGCTTGGTCCTGTGGGGGCCCCTGATGTGCAGAGCCTCAGCCCAAGCCCAGTGTGTGTCGTGGGTGCGGCCTCCCCCTCCCCCGAGAGTCGCCTCCCCCATCCCTCGCCTTGCTGCTTGAGGTGCCCGCCCTCTTCGTGCCTCAGTTTCCCTTCTGGCAGCAGGGGGTGGCATCTGTTGCTCAGGTGGGGAGGCGGGAGCTACAAGATCCAGAGGGCGGGGCGCAGACACCTGCAAGGAGCGTCTCGGGGTCCAGCGCGCCGCCCCCCCCCCCCCCCAAGTGGGGAGATCATCAGGCCGCGGAACCTGGATCTGAGCCCGGCTCTGCCCCAGCCCAGCCCAGAACAGCAACTCAGCCTCCCTAGTAGCCACACAGTGGTCACTGGCTCCAGGTGTCCCTTGGCCGGTGTAGAAACAGTGGCGGTGGGGCCAGCGCAGTGGGACGGCGGGGAGGGTGCTTGCCTTGATCACGCCCTGCCTGGTTTGATCCCCAGCCCCGCCTGGAGGGACCCCTGAGTGCGGGACCAGGAGGAAGCCCTGAGCACTGCCAGGGGAGGGAGGGGGGAAGGAAGGAAGATGATGAACTCCAGGGAGGGAGGGAGGGAGGGAGGGAAGATGAACTCCAGGAAGGAAAGAGGAAGGAAGGAACAATGAACGAACCAACAAATGAAGGTGAACTCCAGGAAGGAAGGACAGAAGGAAGGACGGCCGGAAGGAAAGATGGACGGAAGGAAGGATGGATGGATGGGTGGAAGGAAGGACGGAATAGGAAGGAAGGAAGGAAGGAAGGAAGGAAGGAAGGAAGGAAGATGAACCCCAGGAAGGAATGGAATGAATGAACAAACAAATGAAAATGAACTCCAGGAAGGAAGAAAAGAGGAAGGGAGGGAAGGACGGAGGGAGGAAGATAATGAACTCACTCCGGGAAGGAAGGACAGATGGAAGGAAGGACGAATGGACGGAAGGAAGGAAAGAAAGAGAGAGAGAAAGGAAGTCCTGCAGAGCGATGCAGAAACCCCAGGCTGTTCAGAAGGAGAAGCCCAAGCCCTGGTATTTCTGGCTCACGACTTGGACCAGAAAGATTATATCAGCAAGCCGGGAGCACCTTCGGGCACCCAAGGGCCCGTATCTGACCCCTGAGTCCCGCGGCCCACAAAACCCAGAAGCATCTGGACCCACCCGGCCCACCGGCACCCCCAGGCCTCTGCGGCAGGGGACAAACACAGCCACGTGGCACAACTCCTAGAACCAGCTTCCGGGCCCTGCTCAAGCGTTGGCACGTCACTGACCCCAAACCCAGTGTTCGGGCCAGAGTTTCATCCCTGCGCCCTGCCCTGTAGGCAAGGTGCCCATGCCATCTGCCATGCCAGAGTCCCCCCGTGGAGGCAGCCGAGAGGGGACCGAGCCCCTTTCCTGTCAGCGCACGGCCACTGTCCCTCTGGGGGCTCAGGGAAACTGCCTCCCCGGCAGCTCCCAAGAGGCCCTGCCAGCTGGGCTGCCCCAAGGGGCCCGCACCACACATCTGCCAGGCCTTCATTCCTTCCCCCTTATGCCACATGGCCGCTGTGGGGTTCACCTGCACCGGGACTGTTACAAAGAAGGGCTGAGCGGAAGGACAGTGGGGACAGCGTTTGCCTTGCGTGCAGCCAACCCGGGTGCAAGCCCGTCTGGTCTCCTGGTCGAGTTTCCCAGCAACAGAGGGGTGGGAGAGAGGGAGACAGAAGAGAGAGGCACCTGAGGGCCTGAGCTTCCTCTGGACGTTGCCCAAAAGCCATCACTTTCCCTTTCTGGAAGTTTCCCTTCCAGAAAGGGAAATCTTTTCCAGAAAGGGAAATCTTTTCCAGAAAGGCGCAGATTAACGCCTTCGCCCAGGCCTGATCCGAGCATCCTCCACCCAGATCCTCCGAATTCCAGTAGGCAGGGGTCACACCCACCAACTGGCCCCCTGGCGCCATGTAATCCCATCAACGGCCAAGACCCAGAGACTATAAAACCCAGCTCCCGGACATCTTCTTATCTCATTCCTACTTTGGACATACTGGCAGGCCACCAAATGTTACCTGCCCACGCTGCAGAGTCTGGCAAACTCCCCGTGGCGTACCCAATATGCCAAATACCAGTAACAACGATGGGTCTCCTAAAGAGCCTTGAATATGGCACTTTCTTAAAAATCTCAGGGCTAGGATGAAGGAAACATTACTGGGGCCTGCTCGAGGCATTCGACAAATAACAGGATGGTCGTGATCGTGATCGCCCAGGCCTGGCCC